CTATCTATCTATCTATCTATCTATCTATCTATCTATCTATCTATCTACTTATCTGTGTATGTATATTTCCAAGTAGACTTCACTTTACTCTTGAACAATTTTTTTTCAGAATCCTCTTACAAAGTTTGATACTAAATTTTTCTATGTATTTTATTCTTGAGAATTTCATACATTTATGCAATGACATATCCACCTTTCCTTTTCCTCCAACCTTCATCTTTCTTTCCATATTATCTCCAACACTTCAAATTTCATGTCCCATCCCCTTCCCCATTTTTTTTTTTTTTGTTGGCATGGAAGATCCACCTGCCTCTGCCTTCTAGGTTCTGAAATTAAAGGAGTATGTGATCACACTCAGCTTTTGTTTTGTTTTGATTATCCACTAAATTCTACCCAAATACGCATGGATGTTGATCCAACCATGGGAGCATGGGGACCGTATGACTGGCCACATCCTGACATACGTGTTTTAAAGATTTTTTGTTCTCTCTCTCTCTCTCTCTCTCTCTCTCTCTCTCTCTCTCTCTCTCTCCCCCCCCCCCCCAGACAGGGTCTAGCTACATAGCTTTGTCTGTTCTTGAAGTTGAGATCTTCTTGCCTCTGTGTCCTGAGTGCTGGCATTATAGGGATGCAATAATTCACTCAGTTTTTTTTTTTTCGAGACAGGGTTTCTCTATAGACTCACTCAGTTCTTAAATTGAGTTTCATTTATTTATTTCCATTTTATTGGAGGGTGGAGAGAGAGAGAGAGAGAGAGAAAGAAAGAGAAAGAAAGAGCGCAAGCGCCCACTTATGTGGAGGTCAAAGGACAACATCTCTCCTTTTACCACGTGGATCCTGGAGATCACATCAAACTTGTCAGGCTTGGCAACAGATGCCTTTACTCACTGAGACATCTCATCAACTCTTGAGTTAAGGGAATGTGCTTGCTTTAAAATGAATAATTATTTCAGATACACGCTTTTTACGCCCCTCCCCCCCAACCCCAAAACACCATATATCCATGAGTGTTTGTTGAATATAGGATCTTGGGAGAACCTTTCTTTGCATGTCCACACTGCTTCTTTAGAAACCTTTTTCTCCATTTCAATGAAAGAGAAGAATTGATCGTACACTTTAAAATTACCCCTGGGCTAGCTGTGCGGTGGTGGCGCACACCTTTAATCCCAGCATTCGGGAGGCAGAGAAAGGCAGATCGGATCTCTGTAAGTTCGAGGCCAGCCTGGTCTACAAGAGCTAGTTCCAGGACAGGCACCAAAACTACAGAGAAACCCTGTCTCGAAAAACAGAAACAAACAAACAAAAAATTACCCCTGGGTTAGGAAGTAAATAAATTGTTGCCTGAAGACAGTAAGATGAGAATATTCTACGTGAGTTGTAGTTTGCAGATGCTAGGCTTTCCTAGGCTGGTACTTGGACTTGCTTACTCTTCACTTTCACTATCCATACCTGTTTTAAGTAAGAATACCATACAATTAAAGAATTCTTAAAGGAACATTTATTTTGACAATAGGTTTGGTAGCTTGAAACAAGATAGGATTAGATTTGGTGATAGTACTGTAGAGCTATAGCTTCTTCAAATATCAGGAGTTTTTAATCCTTTCTAGAATGACTTTAGAGCTTTGGAATGAGCTTAGAGAGAAAGTTTTTAGGACAGGATAGTATTTGAATGCACAGCTACTAGAATAATGTCAGTGTTGAAAACATACAAAAAGGCTGGACAGTGGTGGTGCCTACCTTTAATCCTAGCACTCAGGAGACAGAGGCAGGAAATCTCTAATGCAAGGCCAGCTTGGTCTACAGAGTGAGTTCAAGGTCAATCAGGACTACACAGAGATTTGAAAAGTGGAAGAAGGGATGGAAGGAGAGAGAAAAAGAGAGAACAAATGAATATACAAAATTTTGTTAACTTTTGTTTAATCCCTGTAGGGCGGCAGGTAGTGTTGGATGCAGTTATTAGCATTTGATTCAACTAACACTACTATACCTAGCATTACCTCATCATATGAACTAGAAAACCAGTTGTGGAAGGTTGCTTGACTTATTTCAGCAAAATGACAGAACTGGTAATATAATCTAGATTGATCTGAAGCTAGTAATCATTCTCTTCCATGATTCTATATTCATTATAATTTTGAATAACTTTTACACATTAAGATTGGTGTGTAGCATCTTCATAACCATGTCACAATATTACTCATTACTTATGCTAACATTAAACTGTTTTCTGAAAGAATTCCCTTGTCTGTCATAGATCTTCTATTTGAAACTCCTAGTATTGCCATCGCTGTGATGAAAATACTTGAAAGATGAAAGACAGAAAGATCTACTTTGGGTCCCAGTTTAATTCAGTCTGTTTCTTTGGCTCAGTTGCTTTGAGCTTGAGGAGGCTGCACACCCCAGGACATCTTAGAAACAAAGATAAGGGGGTGAACGTGGGTCCTAGTGACCTACTTCTTTCAGTTAGGTCACACCTTCTAGTAGTTTGTTCAGTTGTGAATTATTATGACCCTGTCACTTCTTACCTGTGAACACTGCTACATGAGGACTAAACGTTTTATCTACAAATTATAAACCATTTGCCCCTGGATCCCAAAGACTTATGTCTAGCTTATAATGCAAATTATTTAGTTCACCTCTAAGAGACCCTGTATAGTTTGAGCTTTATCCCAAAATTCAAGTCCAGAAGGCAACTTTTAGTTGTGATCTCCTATACAATTAAAGATGCCTTTTGTGTACATTAACATACAGTTGTAAGTACGGCCACAGGATTAACATTCCTCTGCACGAGGGAAGGATGGGAGCATAGAAAGGAGGGTCCTAGCCAAGGTAATACCAAAGGGCAACATTAAATTTTGATGGATCATCTATATCTATCACCCAAGTGATGGGATGGTATAATCTGAGCTTTAATGGACTTTTTGGTTTTGCAATCTCCAGCTTTCCTGGCAACTCTCTGAGCCTGGTTGCCTATAGCTTTTTTTGGATATTGTCCATGTTTCTGGCAACTCCAGCTTCCTGGAGTCTCCATTGCAACTTGGGCTCACTCATAGCCAGCCATCTTGCGGGTTTCTGTTTCTGGCTGGTCTCCCTATCCTTTTTCTCAAATCTGGTAGAATTCCTTGCAATTTCACAACTCTTACAAATTTTACATGTTTACAAAACCAGCATCACGTAGATGACACTAAAAACTTCTTTTGCTGCAAACTTTACTGTTGGGGCCCACTTATCCTTGACTGTAGTAACCTCTTGAGTACTTAGACAGTGGTCATTAGCAAATGAATTTTGGGGAAACAGTTTTCTAGGAGGCCCTGTTTGAATTAGGCATGACGAACTCTTGATTAACTACATTAATAGTGTATATTAGACAGCACTGTAATTATAATGTACTTTAGTGTTATGTTATATAAATGACATCTCTCTCATAATTTGTTGCCTCCCCCCAATTCAGTTTTCCACAGGCTACAAATCAAACATTACTAGACAAGTTTAAACATCAACATGAAGAGAATTCTTATATTGAATTTCCAGCTGTGATGGAACCTGCTTTTATCATAAAACATTATGCTGGAAAAGTAAAATATGGAGTAAAGGTTAGTAAATTTCTTACTGAATGTGGTTTTAGAGCAGAGGTATGTCTTTTAAATTATAGAACATTTTTTATTCCTTGACAGTTTTTGCATGTAAACATTGTTTTTGTTCTTATTTTCTTTTTTCCTCCCCCCCCCCCCAGGCAATGTTTCTCTTTTACAAACTTAGAGATATTCCTACCTCTGCCTCCCAAGTACTGGGATTAAAGGTGTGCGCCACCACATCCCAGTGTAAACATTTTTTCTTGATCATACCTATCCCACAATCTTCCCCCAGATGTGTGGTTACTGTCTCTGGCATACTGCCCTCTCATGCAGTTTTTGGAGTCTCTGGATCATTAGTAGCCGTTGGAGACATTTTGTAAGGATAGAACTAGAATTGAGATCTGTTTTTCATTTTTCTTTTTTCTTTTTTTCTTTTTCTTTCTTTCTTTCTCTTTGGTTTTTCGAGACAGGGTTCTTCTGTAGTTTTGGAGCCTGACTTGGAACTAGCTCTTGTAGACCAGGCTGGCCTTAAATTCACAGCCTGTCTCTGTCTCCTGAAATATGTTTTTTAAATTGATCTTTCTGCTGGTTTCCTTCTGTAGATATATCTATTTGGCCATTCTAGTGAACTTTTCAAATTTAGAAGAACAAATTGTGTCTGTGTGTCACAAACTCATTGTTCATTCTCATAGTTCATTTGTTTTGCTTTGATGTATCAACTCAATGGTCTTTTAGGAACTTCTGTTTCTAGAGCACTGTTAGGTGGTTGTGACTTTTCATTCTTACTAGGTTTATTAATAATAACTTCTGAATATATTTTTATGGACCTGATGAGTTGGTAAACAAATCTTCAGAAGTTTAAACTTACCACTTAAGATACTAAGTTTTCCTGGAATGCAGAAATAAAATGAAATCTTCAGATGAGTGTCTCAATGGTTTTTTGTTTTTTTTTTGTTTTCTGTTTTTGAGACAGTCTTATGTAGCTCAGACTACATGCTTTTCTATGTAGAAGAGCATGTTCTTGAACTCCTAATTTTCCTGCCTCTATGTCCAAAGTGCTAGGATTACAGAGGTGTATCACCATATTTGGCTGTAGTAGGCATCCTAATTAAGGTCATTTGTCCATTTACTGATCCATTTAGTTAAGAATTATTTACTGCTGAGTATGGTGGTTTATGCCTTTAATCCCAGCACACTGGAAGCAAAGGCAGGCAGATCTCTGTAAATTCAAATCCAACCTAGTGTACAGAGTGAGTTCCACAATATCCAGGGTTGTTAACACAGAGAATCTCTGCCTTGAAAAACCAAGAAATAAAGAAAAAAGCAACCCAACAAACCCCAAAGCATTATTTATTAAATAACATGTGCCACATTATCTGTTCAGTGTTTACAATGATAAAATGATAAAACTAGACAGACATATTTGTATTTCATATGCATATCATATATATCATATTTGTACTTATTTCTAGCTATGTGCTGTAAATAAATGTTTTCTGTGAGTTAATGTAATGAAATAAGTACCTTTAAATTTGTAGATTCATAAGTACCTTTCTAAAACACTTTGACTTAAGAGAGCACCTAAAGTAAATGTTGTGCTGATGAGTTGAGATAGTGAATTACATGTTGTAAAGTAAGAACGTTTTTTTTTAAAGACAGGGTTTCTCTGTAGCTTTGGAGCCTGTCCTGGAACTAGCTCTTGCAGACCAGGTTGGCCTCAAACTCACAGAGATCTGCCTGTCTCTGCCTCCCGAGTGCTGGAATTAAAGGCAGGCACCACCACTGCCTGGCGATATGAAACTATTAACGAATAGTGACATAATATGAATTCCAAGAGCAGACAGCAGGTTAAATCTTGAAGAGCTTCTAGATCACATTGAAGGAGCATAGTTTTATTTGTTTTTAATGGAGTTCAGGAGTTTCTTACTGTGTAGCCCATGGTGTTGGTGAAGTGATAGACCTGCTTCAGCCTTCTGAGTGCTTTAATTACAGATGTTTACCACCAACCTCACCATTGGAATTTAGGGTTTTTTTTTTTTGGGTGTGTGTGTGTGTGTGTGTGTGTGTATTGTCGGAATTATTATAGGAATTGTGAAACTACGTTAAGCAGAAGAGTGTTTTTACAGACAGCAGAAAGGGCAAGACTGGATTCTCTTCTGCCTCCTATCCTTCTTCCTTTAAATTGAGGCAAAATCTTAAATTGAATCACAAGAGTAGCTTTAGAAATGAGGAAGATCTTATACAAGGTATACTGTGGAGATCTCCACATACTTTATAGATGTTCTAAGTGAATGATTTATGGCTGGAAATAATGGAGTCTATTGGAGGTACCATATCTGAGAGGGAACACACAGGTGAGAAGCAGAGTTTAGATATAATTTACAAAGTAAAACTAAGCAAAAATCTTGAGCCTATTGCTAGATATGGTAGTTACTTTTCTAGTGTGGTAATAAAACACCATCACCAAGGCAACTTATAGAGGAAAAAGCTTATTTGGGCTTAACAGTTTCAGAGAGTTAAGAGTTCATCATGGTGGGGAAGCAGCAGGCATGACGGCTGGAGCAGATGCTGAGTTCTCACTCACATCTTGATCTGCAAAGCACAAAGAAAAGTTGGAACTAGAAATGGTATGAGTCTTTAAAATCAAAGCTGGTCCCCAGTGGCATACTTCAGCAAGAACACACCAACCTACCCAAATAATACCACCAACTGGGAACAAAGTATTCAGATGCCCCAGACTAAGGGGACATTTATCATATATTACACATTTCTGTTTCTGTGATGTTTTGTTTGTTACTGAGTCGATTGAAACTAATAGATGATTTAAAAGGTATAATTGTGGCTGGGCGGTGATGACATACTCCTTTAATCTCAGCAGAGGCAGTTAGAATCTCTGAGTTCAAGGCCAGCCTGGTTTACAGAAAGAGTTCTAGGACAAGCTCCAAAAACTACACAAAGAAACCCCCACCACCAAAAAAGTGTAATTATATAGACATTCAAGAAATTAGACAAAAGTAAAGATACTACTGGAGATAAAAAGGGATATTTTATATATATAATGTTTATAATGATAAAAGTGTCCAGTTGATAAAATGTTAACCAAAAGTTAAAATATTCAGTAACTTTGATTCAAACTATAGAAAACATAATGAGACCAAAAATAGGGTTGAGAATATAGCTGTGGTAGAATGCTTTTCTAGTATAAGTGATGCTCTAAGTTTAATTCCTAGCACCCCAGAAGCCATAACAAAATAAAAGTAGCTATAGACAAACCCGCTGTTGTTCCATAGGACACACAAACAAAATGTCAAACAGAAATATTGGGCATCACTTTTGTGCATTTGTGTCATAGGTTACTGGATATATAATTTTGGGGGTTGGGGGTGGGAGGAGGTGGTTTTGAGACAGGGTTTCTCTGTGTTGCCCTGATTGTGCTCGAACTTGCTCTGTAGACCAGACTGCTTTCGAATCCTCCTTGCTCTGCCTGCCGTCCGTCCGTCCGTCCGTCCGTCCCTCCCTCCCTCCCTCCCTCCCTCCCTCCCTCCCTCCTTCCCTCCCTCCGTCCCTTTCATTCCTTTTGGTTACTGGGTATGACATTAAATGTGTGCGCCACCACCGTCCGGCTTAATTGGCACTTTTTAGAAGATACATGGTCCAGATAACTATCCAGAATAGAGCTCAGTTCCATAATTTCTGTTCACATACCATTCAAACCTGTCACTTATTATCTTCTTGATTTTGATAGTCTTTTCCACAAAATCATTGGTACTTTTTTCACATAGGATTTTCGGGAAAAAAATACAGATCATATGCGTCCAGACATTGTGGCTCTTCTGAGAAGTAGCAGGAATGCTTTTGTCTCTGGGATGACTGGAATTGATCCTGTAGCTGTTTTCCGATGGGCAGTTCTCCGAGCTTTTTTCAGAGCTGTGGTTGCTTTCAGGGAAGCTGGGAAAAGATACATTCAGAGAAAAACTGGTAAGCCATCCTTGCTAGTATTCTGCATAATAATACCTTTTATTTTGCTCTGTATTCTTACTATACTCCGGAATCATGTTTCCTTTAAGTGATTAAATGCAGGTTTCTCTTTTATGTAGGCATACGTCATAGGAATAATGAGTGTCATAGGGTTCCTGTTGTGTGATGAAGTGCCATGACCAAGTCTGGTTATGAATGGGAGCTTTAAATTGGGGTCTAAGCCAAGTGGTGGTGGTGCACGCCTTTAATCCCAGCACTCGGGAGGCAGAGGCAAACAGATCTCTGTGAGTTTGAGGCCAGCCTGCTCTACAAGAGCTAGTTCCAGGGCAGGCTCCAAAGCTACACAGTGAAACCCTGTCTTAAAAAAACATCACCATCACCACCACCACCACCACCACCATCATCATCATCATCATCATCATCATCATCATCATCATCATCATAATTGGGGTTTAGTCCATGGTCGCTATAGTGCAGGCAAATATGGTGCTGGAACAGTAGCTGACAGCTTACATCTGACCTGAAAGTTCCAGGTAGAGAGAATGATACTGGGCCTGGTGAAGATTTTTTCAAACCTCAAAAGCCCAGTTCTAGTGACCTCCTCCAAGACCACACTTCATAATTCTTCTCAAATAGTTCTGCCAAATGCAGATCAAGCATTCATATATATGAGCAAATGGAGGCACTCTCGTTCAAACCTCCACAACAACTATAAGGTATATGGTAGTAAGAACAAAAATACATGCTGATAATCATATATTGATTCAGAACTTAAGTGTTTTCTCCATTTTGTTTATCTGTATTTCTTTCTACAAATGAAGTTGTAATTTAGTATGAAAAACAAATTAGGAAACAAAAATATTGGAGTCAATCAGTATAATATTGTAGAGTCTTGTGCCCCAGAATTACCTTATCGGTTGAGCAGTTTTGTTACTTAGAGCACTTTTTCTTTTAAAGAATCAATACTGCATCTGTTCATTAAGTTTTTTCCCTTCTTGTTTACCTTCTCTCAGTCCATTGAGTTTTTTAGTTTGAAATTTAGAAATGATTTTTTTATGGATACTTCCTGTTTAAAGCATAAAAACCTTCCATTTTATTTTTTATGAGGGCACTTGAGGTCCTTTAGAATGTTCTGTAGTATTTGCTCTCACTGTAATCTTAGTCCATTGCACATAGTTAGAATTTTCTAATCTATATGTAGTTGAGACATGCATTTAAGTGGAATTGTGAGAGTGCTTCCTTGTTCTTCTGTGGTTCCCTTCAAAGTCAGCTTTTAAACTTCATTTCTTATTTTTAGACTATATGTGTGAACTGCTTTTTGTAAATATGGAAAATTAAAATTTATTGGAGAGCTAGGTGATGGTGGCGGCCGCGCATGGCTTTAATCTCTTCGATTTCAAGGCCAGTCTACAGTGAGTGCCAGGCCAGCCATGGCTACACAGAGAAATCCTGTCTTGAAAAACAAAGCCAAAGTAAACAAACAAACAAAATTTATTGGATAAATAAATGAACTACTTTAAATCTACTTTTCCTCTAAGTAATTTTGTTTTTTTTAAAGAAGCTCTTAGGAGATACTTAGATATCTTTATATTGAGATATTTAGTTGGAAGAACAGGAAGAAAATAGGATGAAATAAAAATCAACAAAGCTAAATAGACCTGTTGGACAACATCAAGTATATCAACATCTGGCTGTCCAGAAGAAAAGAGAGTCAGAAACAATATTTGAAGAAGTCATGGCTATACATTTTTTTTTTAAATTTGACAAATTAATTCACACATGCTACATCATCAGTAATGATAAGAGAGATGGATTCAAAGAGACACAAACATAGGTATGTGTGATTAAACTATCTAGAGATAGGTCAGATGGCTTCACAGACAGGTAATGGCACTTGCCGCTAGACCTTATGACTGAATTCCATCTCTGAGACTCACAGGAAGGAAAAGACCAACTCCTGCAAGTTGTCCTCTGACCTCCACAGGCCTTGGCAAGTGTGAACCCTCTACCCTATGAATAAATGTAACTAAAAATGTAATATAAAAGAGACAATATGAAAAACAAGTGGTCGTATGAAAGTGATTTGTCATGTAAAAAAGAACATAGACTAAGATTAGCAGATAATTTTTTAAATCAAGCCCCACTGGAGTAGAAGGTAGTAGAATATTACATATTTTAAATGTTGAAGGAAATAAAGATTTAATGAACAATTCTACCTCCCAAAAATTGTCCTTCAGAATGACAGTTGTTAAGATTGCGCTGAAAAAAAGCCAGGCGTGGTGGCACACACCCTTAATCCCAGCACTCAGGAGGCAGAGGCAGGTGGATCTCTTGAAGTTCCAAGTCATTTTATTCTATTTAGTGAGTTCCAGGACAGCCATGGCTATTTAGAGATACTCTGTCTTCAAAAAACAAAACCTAATATCAAAAGCAAAAATATAGTCCTAGAGAAATAAATCCCAAGTGATTTGATTATTAGCAGACTTTCCCACTATCTTAGTGTTCTATTGGTGTGAAGAGACATCATGGTTACAACTCTTTTTTTTTTAGACTTTTTAAAATTCTTTGTGGATTTCACATCATGCATCTTTATCTCGTTCATCTCCCCATCCCTTCATATCCGCCCACTGCCCTTATAATCTCCCCCCATAAAATAAAATTTAAAAGAAAAATGAAAAACTAACATACCAAAACAACTACCAAAAAAAGTCTCTGCATGGAAGCTATAGTGTGACACAGTGAGTCACACAGTTTACCCCTTAATCCATACATCTTTACTTGTAAGTGTTCATTGCAGTGAGTCATCAGTCTGGTTTGAGGCCCCTGGTTTCTGCTAAACCCTTGATACTGGACCCTCACTGGGACTCCTTTTGTATAAAATGTTGTTGACGTGTCTTGTGGAGATCCTGCATCTTTGGATTTGCAGGTCTGGCCCTTTCACATACTCCAGCCGTTCGTAGATGAGGTGGGTGATGGGGTGGACCAACTCATAGCCCTGGTTCTGGGCACGAGTGGTAGCTGGGTTGGTCAACCTGCCTCATTGACATCACCAGAGTGAGCTCTTCAGCATTGCTGTGCCTAACTCACTACAGCAGGCAGCAAGGAGCTGGGCCAGTTTTGCTGTCAAACCCTTGGAGCCAGAGCTGTCTCACCTGCACCCATGCCACCAGGGGCACCTCTACTCTTTTGCCCAGGTGAGGTGCAGGACTCACTCTCCTGAGTGTACAACACCACTTATAAAAGGAAATATTTAATTGGGGTTGGTGTACAGTTTCAGAGGTTTGGTCCATTATTGTCATGACCAGAAGCATGGCAGCAAGCAAACAGACATTGTGTTGGAGAGGTAGCTGAGAGTTATACATCCAGATGGGCAGGCAGCAGGAGGAGTGAAACACTGGGCCTGGCTTGAGCATTTGAAACCACTGCCTATCAATACTACCCTTGCCTCCAACACTACTAATAGATATTAGTACTAGATATTGGGAATATTATTTTATGGTGTGCTACTTTTGTTTATGTTGCATTTGTTTAACTCTGTGAAGCTGTGTTACTGTGCCTATCTAAAACACTTGATGGTCAAATAAAGATAGGAACAGCCAATAGTGAGGCAGGATAGGCAGAGCTGGCAGGTAGAGAGAATATGTAGAAGGAGAAATCTGGGAGAAAGGGTTTTTGAAGAAGTAGCCCTATAAGGAGTAGGACATCAGGGATCAGCTACCCACCCAGCCAGCCAACCATGGGGTAAAAAGGAAAGTAAGATATACTGAATTAAGAAAAGGAAAAAGCCCCAAGACAAAAAAATTATCCTAGGACAACCAAGTCATCTTAAATGGGATTGCTGCACACAAAAAGCAAGAAGAATATCATTTTAAGGTATAGAAATGGTGTTATAGTTTGGAAAACTGTGTTTAAAGCTTAAAATGCTTGCAGAAGTTAAAAAAAGTAGAATGAAAGGATTAGGACACAGGTTATTTAAAACACTATATATGACATTGAATCACAAAACTACAAAGATACAAAAATACCCCAGTGACACTGGTATATCAAATGGAAAATAGAGAACAATTGGTATAGTAATATTTAACGGTTTCTTAAAATTTAATGTATTTTAATAACTATATTCTCACAAAGTAATTTTTACCTCTTCTTGATTTATTTTAATAGATTATCAAATTATGTATTGGTTGAGTAGATTATGAGTATAATTCATACAGATGTCCTCTTTTTGTTCTCAAACTTGTGCATGTTACCTGACTGCCATCTATATTCAGGCTAGTGTGATACCTGACCACCAAGGGTAAAATTACTGGTGATAATGAAAACTGAGTACTTTTTATTAAAGTACATTTCATTGTGGCAATGAAATGATGGTGAGTTCTCTTTTATAAAACACTAAATATTTGCAATTATTTTGGTAAAGGAGGATCCATTTAAACAACATATTTACTTCTCATCAGCTTGTTAGAATGCTTGAAATAGATTTTAAGTTTGCTGTTTTATGTAAATTATCTGAATAGCTATAAGAGTACATTTTTCTCTGCTAAATGATGTTTTTAACATAACATTTTATTTTTTTATCATTTTGATAAGATTCTTATTTATTTATTTATTTATTTTATGTGTTTTTTACATCATGTATCTTGATCCCATTCTTTCCCCCATACTGGTGTGGAATATTAATTTAAAATGTGTTACATTTGTTTATCCTGTGGAATATTTGTTTAGCAACTAGCTGACAGAAAGTAGTAGGGAGGAATCATGTGTAGCTAGGGTTCTTAAGTGGCAGCAGAGCAGAAAGACACCCCATTTTGGTGAGACGTGAGTTAGGAGAGAAGGTTAACTACTTGCTATTCAGCCTTTTTGAGTGAACAAAATTTTACCTTAATTTTTGAATCCTGAGTTCTGTAGAACGCTAGAGATCTAGGTAATGCACGCTTTAGCAGCCTTAATAGAGTCGGTGTCTGAAAGAA